GGGGGGGGGGGGGGGGAGGAGATAGAGGTGACAATGAAGAAGCGCGAGACAAGATTGGCAAGTGGATAGAGGACGGGTTGGAGGGCATGGGATATTGCACAACTTTTTTACAGGATATTAATATAAATTATGTGTGAAATAAAACACATTATGTCGTCGCCGTGCGTAATAGAGAGAAACGAGAAGAGAAGACGAGGGAGTGTAGTAAAGCGTAAAGGGACCAGTGGCGACGCACGCGTAGCCTTCAAAAATGGCGCGCGCGACGGCGTTTGAATGAATTAGTAATTCTCGGGCACGCAGAAGGCGAACAAGCTTACAGCCGCACCATTGTAACGCAGTTTCCTGAATGCTACGCGCCTAGCACGAGATGCGATCGATAAATAACTTCGCGCTTTACACGTACAACACTGTCAAAGCAAGCGCGCACTATCGATTTCGCTAATACGGACGCACCGCACGCACATAAACGACGCGCTGGCCGAAAGAAACATACCAACGCACATGCGAGCGCAGCATAGAGAGGATTGAGCGCGAGAGTGCGAATAAACATATGTTTACCAACACCCACTTACACTGCACACACAAAAACGGAAGGGTAATACACAGGTAAGAGAGAAAGAACGAAAACAGTTCAGGCGCTGATCCTAAGTAGGCAGGATTGAAAGAGATAAACTGATTGGGCATACAAAAATATGTGTTGTTTTGTATTTCCTTCACCTTGTCTCTCAGATGTAAAAATATTTTGACTTTGTTAGTGAGTGTATAGAAAGAGTAGAGGAAGGGGGCATAAAGATAAAACAACTTGAGTAAAGGAAAATACTCTTTTTCAGAAAAAAAAAACAATGGCTAATATAATAGCGCAATTTCAGAGGGCGTGTGAAAGTGATGACAAAGGAGGGAACAACTAATATATAACCATCACGACGACGACATCTAGATTTCATTTCGGGTGGGGTTACTACTGTCTCTCAAGGGGTTATATGGGCCGGACCAGGACAAAAAGAAGGGTCAGTGGCGTCGCGGGCGTTTGTGGGGTAAAGTGAGTGAGGGAGGATTTGAGTTGGGATTGAGGCTGCCAGTAATTGAATTTACGGGGTCAACTGTAGCAAAGGTGTTGAAATTGTTGACAAGAGGAAGATCGGTTTGCGAAGGAAAACCACTTGAGCCTAAGCCAGACATTGTACCGGGAATACATTGGCGTTGTTGTTGTACGCCACCTGATGGAGCAAAAAAATAAAAAAAAGAGTTTTAGTTAATAAACATTCACCGAGGCGAAAATAAACAATCTCGCCCCACCCCCTCCCCCCTCTGACACATTCACAAGCAAATTAGAAAGGGAGATTTTGTATCCATTTGTCAAAAGTCGGTTATATTAGCGTATCAAAGCTGAGGAGAGACGGAATTAGGAACCAAACCTCTTCATTCACTTTCTCTCTGATGGAGCAGAATTTATTGCCCTAATGGAAGCTAGACCACTCTTCAATGTTGAGCTTACTTTAGACAGAGACAACAAAAAAAACGCAGTAACTAAAGCCTGAATGTAGAGACGTATATTGAATTGGGGGGTGCGCAATAGACTTACCTCCACGTGGTGCACCCTGGGCAACGTATACTTATACGGCCATACGGCAAAAAAAGTCTATTAACTGGCAGTTGACTTCTGACTCAATAAAAAAGTCTATTATTCGGCAGTTGACTTCTGACTTCAAAGCGGCAAAAAAGTCTATAAACCGGCAGTTGACTTCTCACTATCGGCAAAAAAATTCTATTAACCGGCAGTTGACTTCTGACTTCAACGCAAAAAGGTCTATTAACTGGCAGTTGACTTCTCACTTCACAAAAAAGTCTATTAACCGGCAGTTGACTTCTGACTACTCAAACGGCAAAAAAGTCTATAAACCGGCAGTTGACTTCTGACTGAAAAGGTCTATTAACTGGCAGTTGACTTCTGACTTCAAAGAAAAAAGTCTATCAAACCGGCAGTTGACTTCTTACTTCAAACTACTATGGCCCGACTATTTGTCATATTCGACCCCTTTCACAGTACTCATCTTACCTTTTTATGCCTTTGTGTATGTCTGACACTTTTACCTCTGTGAATCATTAACCTTTCTCCCATCTCGACTTTTGTCACTTTAATGTTCCTCCTCCTCCTCCTCTCTGTGAAGCCCCGAAGTCAGCTCCAGGGCTAATGATAACTATCATAACGCCTGCCATTTGATATAAATAAATAAATAATTGGGAACATAACGCCTGCCATTTGATATAAATAAATAAATAAATATTGAATCGGTTGCAACAATCGTATCAGCAGATATTCCCGAATGGCCAGTGAACAGTTAATATTTTGTTTATTTATATATCTACAAAGACCGTTTCACAAAATCTTTTCAACTATATATAATTTCTTCCCTTCATTTTGTCAGGAATTTTTCGACTTAATCGATTAAAAAGTAGTTCATGGAGTAATTCGTTCCTCATCCACAGATTAAGAAGTTTTTTTAGAAGAAATTCAGAGATTTAAGCTTTAAAACAGAAGAGCTAGAACCGTGGGCAAAGCTAGAAGATTCAAAGGTGAAGTTAGCTCATTCTAACAGTCGCATTCAAAGTCAATCAAGATTCACTTAATCTTAATTTCCTAGTTTTGAGAAAGACGCTACAACTACTGACACTATGCGAACTTTTCTCCTAACATATCGTCTGAATTAGCTCAAAGTTCTAACAAGAGAGAGAGAGAGCGAGAGGGGAAGAAGTTGGTGAGATAAACAAAATCTTCTGCCCACTTTCTTCCTTTTCACTTTTCCAGCATGAAAAGAAAGAAACAATTTAATGCAATGCATGTACTGTCTAAGACACAATAGTGTGTCTATCTCTCCCATTCTTGTGAGATGTTTGGATTCACCAAAGCGTATAAAGCAGAGAATAAAGACAGTAGGTGAAAAAGCAACACTGCAACAGTACAAAGCCACTGAAGAGAGAGAGAGAGAGGGCAATTGAAGGCAAGCGAACACCTAAAGTTTGAATTTCTAAACTCACTTTTAATCAATTAATACTAACAAAGCGTGCACAACGTCAGGCCCCGTAATTGCCAATTGAATTAACACATGGAATCTCTTTCGCCCACTTCTCTTCTATTTCTACAAACGTAGCTAATTTTCAACTTACTTTTTTAGAAATCGCACACAGCTTTTTCCCACCATTTGAAGAAATGGAACTTACCAGAGCGTGCCTGATAGGAATCGCCGGTAGCCCCACCTCCGCAGTTCTGTACAGAACCCGGATTATTAGTACCACTACCATCGCCAACATTATCTCCCCTCATAGTAGAGAGATAGAGGGGTGATGAGGAGGAGTAGTCATCCATAACCGGGGCTAACACACTTCCACTATTGTGTTGCTGTTGATTTCCACCCCAAGGGCTGTTTGCTGATTGTCCATCCATTCCTCCTCCTCCTCCACCACTATTCGAGTAATTCATAGCAGGAGATCTGCTCAACCTCAGTGGCATATCAGCATCCGACGAGTTCATTGGGAGAAAATCATTACTACCCGAAGTTGTAGTAATGGGTGGACAGAAAAGAAGATCAGGTTGGGGTTGTTGACTAGGGTCTTGAAGATGTGGTACCATTTGGTGTTGGGGTCGAGAGTGTGCAAACAAGACGTCATGTTGTTGTTGTTGTTGTACCGCAGCAGATGATGTTGTAGGACTAATACTCTTGGTACGAAGACCCGGGGAAGAGGAGACTGAACCAGTGTGATGCATGTTGGAATTTAGATCGGAATCGGAGAGGTATGATCCAGTTCCACCAACGCCGTTATTTGTACCATCACTAGGAGGCGCTAGCATGACATGGCTACGCAGGTAGGCTGCTGAACCTGATGCATGTCTTGTGTGGAGATTATTACTTATATTGCTATTGAAGTGACTGTTTGCGTACATTCCAGCTGGAGATGCGCATCTTGAAGTTTCTGGACCTCCAAAAGGCATCGAGAGATTCGAATTCGCGTTACTGTTAGGATGATGCTTAGCTGTGGGAACCTTCAATAGGCCCGAGCGCACACAGTGATATGATCGGGGATCGAGGTCTGTGCCCACAAAATGTCCATCCGTACTGGCGGGCTGTTGAAATATTTTAAAAAGACGTAAATTAAATAATGAGAAAAAACGAAATTAATGAATGAGAATTCGTAAACTCTACTGCACACCAAAAGCGAAATATTTCCTGAATTGGGCAAAAATTATACTCATTTCAGGAAAAAAACAAAACTTCCTGAATCCTGATAATTATGGAATGTTGTTGTATGCAAATATCAAAACAAATGAAACCGTTTACGCAATCAATCAAAGTTATTAGTACTTAAACCCTCTATCTAACATTTTGATTGAGTAGGTGTAAAAAGACATAAGAATAATTGCAAACAAAAGTATCATACACAAGGATGATGAGAATTTTGAAATTTGTTATCAAGTTAATTGAAATCAATAAAATTTTAAGTAACAAGTGTTCACACTACCTGGTTCTTATTATAATTTTATCAATGTCTGAAGCCACTATTACAGATGCACTTCGAATGGAAAACCTTCTTGATTAAGCTCTATGGCATTAATCAATAATTAGTATTCAATACAATATCCTCCAGTCGCGTACAATAAATTAGCAAATAGCAAAGGAACGAGATGAACAAGAGAGCTCTGATTCATGGAGTCGTAATTAAAAAAAACAGTGTTTGTGAGCACATGGCGACTTGACAGCCATATGCTCCTATTCAATGCTTATAGGAGGGTAAAGATTGGCCTATAAAGGCATAGTGATAGACAATCGGCTATAATTAAATACAACCGTCCAAAGTAATTAAATAAAAGTTCGTTAGATTCATTGCAAGTAAATTGCAATGTAAAGGAAGAGGAGTCGAGTGTGTGTGTGCGTATGTGTGTGTGTGTATATGTGTACGTGAAAGTGTTAAAACAAAGACACGATTTACTGAAAAAAAACTATACTTCAATTTTTTTTCAAGAAAATTTGGGATCGACTGTTGTTTAAGCAAATACTTACCTTAACACTGATAGGAAAAAAAGAGTGACTAAGATATCACTCCTTAACTATTACAACTAGTATTTCGCAAACTCTATGTTTAAACGCTGGTTTTAATGAAAAATAAGTGCACAAATTTACATGGGAATAGTGAAATAGAAAAGAGCTTTATTACACCATCTTCTTATAAAAAAAACATACTTGCAATAAAATTGAAACAATGATTTCCTCCTGTCTTGGGGAATTCGAATTTTTTTTGTTTTACAGAGAATATTTAGGGAGGATAATATTGGCTATTTCCGAGAAAAAGAGTATCTTCTATTGAGGATACGCCGAAAAGGTTAGGTAAACAGGTCGAATTCTTTAGGAATTCAGTTAATCGCTGAAGTACGACCCATAGATTCAAAGGGAGTCGAAAGGTAAGATCAAAAGACTGAGAGAGAGAGAGAGGGGGGGGAGTTCAATATTGTAAGGAAGGTCGAGCTCCAATTGTGGAAATTTGGGCTATCATTTATGAAGAATCATCTTTACAATTAGGAAGAACAAGAACACTAGCGAAACTAGCAATTCAATATGCGAAATAAATAGCGGTCAATATAACTTGTAATGGGAGCATATGAAGTCAAGGTGAAACTTTGTCTACCGACAAATAACATTTTACAAGGTCGCTTAAATGCGCAAGTTCACGTATGGCACTGTGGTCAGCCATGTCAGAAACCATGGCTTTGACATTTATATTATGAGTGAAGTTCCATTTTCCCACTAGAAAGGTTCCACAGCAAAATTCTGTTTAAAAGTCCTTCCATTCATTCACCAAAAGATTGGAACTGGAACAGAACAGATGGAAAGATTCAGAAAGATCATTTAAGCTGATGCTAAGTTCAAAGAAAACGCCGAAAATAATTTGGAAAATGGCATCTCCACTCTATTCTCAAAAAAGCAAAATTTAAAACAAACACAATCGGATGACACTTCTAACATACGAAAACAAAAGATCGAACTAGATTATATGTCTTAGGATCAAGAAGATAGAATGTGACTAGGGCGACCAATAAGCTTATTTCCAAGAGTTTTAATCCCGCAAAAAACACTTATATCCACATATTCTAAAACAACAGGAGTGGTACTCGATGTGCATCATCCGACATTTGAAAATCAGTAGGGATCAAACTAAGCAGGGGCTTAGCAAAAGATCTACGTCAATTTTGTCATCGAAAATGAATGGAAACATTCTGTTCCAAAAAGGAAGACACAAAATCTATCGTTTGCCCGCTAAATGTAAGCCGCCGAAGTTTTCATATTTTGGCAGTCGTTTTGATTTCCTGCGAATCGGTGACAAGACAGGAGAGGAGAGGGAGGGGGGGGGGAGGGGGATGGAAAGAGGAGTATTGATTTCTGTATAAAGATTAGATTGTGGCTTTAAATACTAATACACATAAACGTACAACCCATTTCGCATGCTATCCCACTCTACCCCTTGTTCTCTATCTGTTAATTTACACATTTTAGCTGCATAACACGGCGTTAGCACAGCCTATCGATGTGCGTGTAAATGAACCGCAGAAGGGGAGAGAAGTTAAAGAGACCCACGAAGTGCCTAAGTATTATTAAAGTTCACCGCCTGAAAATTTCGCAATTAAACGAAAAGAGGCTCATCACGCAGTTCAAAAAAAATGCGAGGCCACGACAAGGACACACAAATCGCATTATTTCATTTTTCTTTCGGCTATCTTTTGAAATAATTAATTAACTTGTTTGGGCAATTTGGGATTTTAGTTGCATTTTCCAAAAGAGAATGTAGTGAGGTGATCTCAAAAACAATTCTCAGCAATTACATCCACACGCGTACACACACCTAAATTCATTATCATTTTTGCTGTGTTCGCATCGATATTCCAGATTAATAGATATTCGTGCTCATATTGATTTTCTGTTGATGAATACGTACCCCCACCGATTTTCGGCTGTCAGGCGTTTCTATGAGTTAAATTGAGATGTAGCATATTTTGCATTAAGATTAAATCTTTCCATTTGATGAAATCTGTAAGTATTGCGTTGCATTTCTAGGCAACTGCGATTGAAATAATTAAATGAAAAATCCAATTACTATAGTCGGTCTCGGGTATTAACAATAATAAAGCTTAAAACTATACAAAGTTAGCACTTGGTGTGTCTGAATTCTAAGGAAAATAGTCCCAAATATTCATTTTGCTAACAGTAGTATTAAAGGTACAACAAGTAGACGTTGACTGTATACGGTACTGGGTTTACGGTAAACAACTGTCCAATGGTAGCATAGGAATTTTAGTTAAAGTCTGCAAATTTGGAAAAAGATCAACATTAATAAACATCCAGGGAATGGAATGTTCAATGGAGGAAGGATGGTGGTGGTGGTGGAGAGGGGGGGGCGGGTTAAAGCAGAATATATTCAATAAAACAGGACTCACTACTTGGCTAATCTTATAATCTAATACGCAGAATGGTAGATAGCAAATGACTATTCATTTTCCAAAAAAAGAGTAGGAATAAATAAAAGGTTTGGGTGTTAATAGATACCTACTGTCAATTCCTTAAAAAACGTGAGAAATAAATAAAAAAGTTTAGAAAACCTCTAGTACCATTACCAATTGCGAAAAAAATTGGAACTAACCATTTTGGTACTAAGGGCAATCATACTGACAGTAATACCAATCTCAGTTAAAGTCAAATGAAAAATAAATAACTTTCACGTAACTTCTTCACCATCCACATATTTATATTTGGCTATTAGAGCCCAGATTGGGTGAAGTATGGCAATCTCTATGGAGTCAAAAGTGCTTTCTTCAGTTCCACCTAGCAGCTCGCGAATCTTAGGGGAAGCGAATGAGTTAAAGTGAAATAGCAACCAGTTAAATCAACTGATCAAGAGGATTTGGATATAGGCGGACCTGAAATCACTCAGAACCCCAGGGATCAAATTATGACAATGGAGTTTCGAAATACCAACATATCAGGACAGATATAATATATTAACCCTCCCCCCCCCCCCCCCCCCCCCCCCCCACCCCCGCCTTACGGGCCATAGGAAAACCCCAGGCTTCCTAAGCTTTAAAGAAAGATCTCTCCCAATGTCATTTCTCGAAGGGCTGCTTTGCTGACTTGGGCGTTCAGAGGTTATCCACAATTGAACGTTGTGCAGGTATTCTCCTACATCGTCATGGATAGTAATAATATACTTGAATGCAAACACAGTGTGTAAAGTTGCAAAAGACATTCACTTTTATTGAAATTCTACAGGGACAGCTTCAATACTGAAACTTGATACTGTCTTTGTTCCATTGGCTTTATTTTCCACAAAAAATATACATTTCATTCGAAGGATGATAAGACTGGGTACACACACAATGGAAAAACAGCCTAACTACAGAAGGCCTTTAGATAAGCGTGGAAATTTAAAGCAGATTAATAAAAAGATTCTCCATTAGGGATTAAAGAAGCCATAATTAAACAGCGATTAGGGTAAACTTCAATCTCAAAGTCAAAAAAAAGAAAACAAACCCTTTGGTATACATTGTAATATGAATAGGTCGAATTCTAAAATTCATCATTTTCAGAAGAGCGCATACAAATAAAATATAGGGAAGTAGAATAATAGGTAGTCATTGACTCAAGATTCACTTACCCTAACCATTTGTGGTGTTCCAGAGTGCTCACTCATTCCATCAATATCTCGAGCACCACCACCACTATTATGATGACCACTATCTTGATTTTTATCCACACAACTGACGACATCACCCAGATCATCTCCCCCCATTCCCAAATCATCCTGGGGCATGATGAAGCGCACCTCAGGAGGACCATCGAGACCAGATAGACGAAGATGATGCCGCGGTTGTTGCTGACTAGTTTGCAGTAGAACGGGAGTTTTTGATCCCGATCCAGACCCATAAGAACCCCCACTGTGATCCTGCTGCTGCCCCATTTGTCCGAAACCGCTCAACTGAGCTCCTCCTGCTGAAGTCGTATCAACCATTGAGTAGTCATTAGGTAAATCATTTGGGTGCTGGGAGGGTGTCAAGCAGTCGTCATCATCGTCTGCGTCGTCCCCATCATCTCCCATTCCACCTCGGCCATCTCCTGTGCTACCGAGGCTAGTTCCATTTCCTTGTCGGGACATCTGCGGTGGTGGGCGCAGAAGGCCGTCAAGACATTCTGTACTATGGTTCGGAGGAACAGAGCAGTAGGCGAAGACATTAGCAACGGTTTTTGGATAGTCTAGCGGTGGTGCTGCTGGAGAACTGCCACTAGTGTCCGAGAGACCGGTTGGTATTGGCATTGGGTAGGCCTTGCTATCACGTTTATTTAACATCTGAAAGAGTAAGATCAGATATCTAGAATTCGATGATCAATATAAAACTGGGAGTTGAAACTCCTTATAGCTATATCATATGGTGATGGAAGTTAATCATCACAACACACACACGTGTTTTTGAGCCGTGGAACGTCACACGCTTGGAACCTATAGACATGAACAGAATTGCAGAAATACAATATGACGGCAATATACGATTCACTTAATTAGAGAGACTAGTAACGACTAGAGTAGCCTTACTCTATTAAAAAACAACTTATCAAATATAGATAAAACAGATGATTCCAATAGAAAGCTAATCTATTTACACGCTAAGACGAAAACGTATTTTCCACAAACAGCCTTTATTTTTCAATCTCATAAAAAACAAATAAAGATTCCGGTTTGATCTCTAAAGAGGCGAAACATAAGTCCATCTTTTCTTAACACCGATTGGGCGCCAATCCAGAGAGAGAGAGAGAACGGGCAAACTCCACTTGGTTAATAAGGGATTTGAAGAATTCCACGTTCTCATCAGAGAGGCAACATGGTATTGAAAAACGAATTACTAAATGGGATTCAACCGATGTCTCGACTTTATTATTTAATAAGGGCTAAGTCTCTACCAAAATGGGGGCTTGGAAGTGGGATGGTTCGGATAATACTCATTCACCAACCCTCTCTCTCCCAGTCTCCCTCTGTATCCCAACTTTTAACCCATCCATCAGAACTATGACATATAAACGCTTAAAAGCCAAAGTAAAAAGGTTGACGTGTGCGCGTGCTGCCAAGGTATTCATTCAGCAGTAGCAGCATCGGATTGTACGTAAATCTAGGGAGAGACCATACAATCTGCCCAGTCTAACAAAGATTTCAAAGAAAGAGGTTTAAGCCAATCTCGGTAAAATTATTGCAGTGATCATTGTTGGCCTTTTTTAAGTGGAGATGAAAGACTCCTAGTTCTGATAACTCAATTACCTCAACTCAATGAGAAGATGCAGGTACTCAAGGTGATGAAGTAGAATAGGAGAGGGAATAAAAATGGAAAGAGGTGGAAAAAAGTTTAGATAAAAAAAAACTATAGAGCTTTGATACATACTTAGAATGCCTTTTCTAAGTCCATCTACCCGCTGATCACTATAAAAAATACCAATGAATTAAGGCAGCATGACCAAGTATACTGTACAATCAGATGGCCAATAAGAGCTGGATAAGGCGAATTTTGAGTTCACTCAGATATAGAATAGTGAACATTAAGCAATAAATATTCGAGTATAACAAAGCAAAATTATGCTCCCCAAAGGGAAAAGTTGTCGACGTAATAATATGCTCTAAAAACCTAATTTAGCTATATCGAAAGAAGACTGCCTATGTGTTACCCCAAAGTAAAACTTAATCACATTATCTACGAAAATAGGCTATTCTTACGCCTTTCCGATTCTATTATGCGAATGATAATCAACTCTTTTTCCAGAAATTAATCCACTTCATCTAGACGTTCATCGTACTCACATCCCCATGAGCATTCTTGCACAAGTGAATCTCCTATAAACCGTCTTTGTAACTTCACTCGCATACACGCACAATTGGCTTGCCATTTATCTACCACCTATCCACCACCCCCCTCCCCCCATCTCATTCTTTGTTCTGAACTCTCTCGTATATTGACTGCATGGAATGTATGGAATGAACCGGGTTAATAAATTCTAAATTGACCAGTTTGATGGCAGGGAATCCAGGAGACTAGTTACAATATTTAATAGTTAAAATAAAAGCTGTCAAATACCCATCAGATGATTGTTTACGGTGTGAAATAAATTACTAGACTTTCGTTCCCCACAACACCCCGCACCTTCACTTCACATTGGACGCTTTCCACAATGAAAATGAAGTTTTTCTTTAACATTCCTAGGTGCATGAATTGAATGTTGAAAAAAAGGTTAATTCATGGAAAAGAATGAAAGTTTATCGATGATAGATTTTTCCGGTACAAATTCCAATTGCTGGCAAGAAATCCTGCCTTTAATCTCAGCCTACGTAGTTACACGACCGAAAAATGACTTCGACATTTTCAACGACACTCACGAGGAAGAACACAATGCCAAAAATCAGCAGGAGACAATAGGGTCTTCTGTTAGTACAGGCATCTGTCATTTTTACTCCTCATCAAAAAAATGCAGTACATTCCTCCACCAAGCAAGTTATTGTCCATGAAAAAACAATCCCCTCCCNCCCCCCCCCCACCCCCTTGTGACCTTTCAACCTAGCGGAAAGCTGCGGCTCGAACTATAGGGCAGCATTTCTAAACTTAGCAACCTTAGTTTAACAAAATAATGAGAAAAGTCTAAACAATAATAATAATAATAATAATAATGCTACAATAAAATGAATAAATATAAAGAAAGGGGGAGGATGAGAAATTCAGGTTGAACAACCAAAATAAAAGAAGTTGATTAAAAGGAGATTACCAAAGTGAGTTGATTCAACAGTGTGGTGAAAAGGGGATACCCCTCATTAAACATTACTCATTTTAAGTTAAAAGAAGTAAGATTGACAGCTAATTGCAACTATTCTTAGATAAGCGCATTCCTTGAAGTATGCCGCATGAAAAGGCCACTGTCTTGGTAGACTCTGAAGTGAACACTACCCTTGAAGCATTTACGTAATTCCATTAAGTTATCAGATCAATGTCTATTTTTGAGGCTAATTAGTTTGCAGCAAGTAGAAAGTGCACATTATTTGCCATCTCTTACGACTTTACACTGACAAAATCACTAAATTCTCGTTGTCACAACGAAGGCTAGATTTTAATCTCCTTCACAACACGCTCGAGTGCCTATCTGCAAGAATAAAAAGGTATTCAGCCACGATTAGGGTTAAGTTATCACCTGACGTTCTTAAAACGACTCTTGGTAAAAGTTCCCATACTTCTCGTTGAACTAACCTCTATACCCAGTTCCAACTTTCCCTCTAATGATGATTTCTACTATAACACCAGTTCAGGCAGCCAATGACGACGTCACATCACACCCATCCGTCAGTGAAAATGCAAAATAACTAATCTCGTGGACACTTTGCTATCTTCCATGCTTATAACTTTGTTCACCACGAATTGTCTCCATGCCACCATGCCAAGGCAACAATCAATCAGACTCAACATCCTGTCTCCTTCATAACAAATCAAATCTAATTCACCGACTAGAGCGGCATAAAGGAAATGACTTTACCTTTTGCCTGCTTCCAAAATACCCAAATCAACCATCAAGAATAACTCTCAAAAATGATTCCATCAGGGTCACCATTTTCAAGCCAAACCCATGCTTGTTTGCCGTAAGAAGTGATCGACTCTGATGGATGATAGATGGAAGCACTCGAAGAAATCAGTCTCGCTATGGAGGTTTCTCTCCTCAATGAAACAGTTCTAATCGTTGTTTCACAAAACGTAGACAACGCCGTGCCACCTTACCATCAGGATCTCTGTCTTATTGCCCGCGTCACTGTTGGATTCATATTCAATGCAGCCTGAGACTACGCCCACTAAGTCTGCTGCAATCGACACCGACATTGACAAAACCAAACAAACACACAAACACACACGATCACAAACACTCAAACATACATACTCGGCTATTCACCAAACAGAACGTATTAACACTGTTTGTGTCCAGACTTTTGTCTTTGTCTAAGTACCTCCCTTCAAACTCGCTGCTTATTCTCAATTGTCAGGGTGAGCAGTTCATTGGCATCGTGAAACGACATCCTTCCATCTCACAGGAGAAGTGTAGGGTGGGGAGGGGAGGGGGAGGGGAGGGACTAGGAGGGATTCCTATTCCCTTGCGGTTTACAGTTTAGGCACTTCGACGACGCCTCGTGTTGCCGTTAAAATGTGAATGTGCTATGACAAACATCTTCGTCCTCGAAAAATGACCATATAATCCAAGCTGAAAACGGAATCAAAGAAGGTCTATTTGAATATGTGTCAACATCACCATCACCACCTCCTTCTACTTAGAACCCCCAAAACATCAGAAACGCAGCTCCATCATCGGCCCTTTCGTCACTATAGACACTTTAGATGGCCTAGAAATGATTCAAGGTGGGCACAACGCCCAAATCTACAGTGAATCAACCTTCGCCATGAGTTTTTGAATGAAAATGAATTAGACAACAGGGTCGTTTTCTTGCATAGCTTTGGAGTTGAGCTATTTTTGCCACCCAATAATAATATAGATTATAACCCGAAACTAGGTGGAGGTTGAAAAGTGCATTGTCGGGAGAATGTCATGGTGTCAAAATAAAGGCGCAAGAGAGGAGACAATAAAAGCAAAGAAAAACAGTAAAGAAAAAAAACGAAGAAGAAGAAAGCAAACAGCTTGCAGGGGAAAAAAATACATATGAAATACGAGTACCTGCCCCATAATCTAGCATGTATTTCCCTTAAGCATACACACAAAACAAATAGCGAGACAATTTCACTGTAAGTTATTCTTCAATCGAAAAAAACAAGCCAGTGGTTCCAATTCTATGTGTCTTCTAATCTAACAAACTCGCGAACTGGAGTCCAAAAACAAGAATTTGCTGAGTTAGGTAAAGCTTTGCCATGTAAACAGAAGAAACGCTTTATTATCCCTTGAACAATAAGGTGAGAAACGAAGTATCTATTTGAACGAATTCATCAAAAAAATTTACGAAACAATACGAACTAATAATTACATATAGGGAACTTCAGAGAGAAAATTTTTTACAGCCTCGAATTATATAAACGGCAATGATTTCGTTAGTTCAACACAAAACAAAACAGTCAGCAACTGAAGACACTTGGCTACAGAATTTTACAAGACCACGAGAACTAAAGCATGAATTCCATTAAATTCAGGAAGAATTTTCGTGATGTTTTTTGTTGAACTAGGAGAGTGGAGCTGTGAGCAGTCACAATGGAAGATTAAGTTAACCGTTGAGCACATCAAAAAGTGAGACATGTATTGAATCGGATTGAGATAAGTGGGAGGGGGAGTATT